CCAAAAAACCTACTTAGAATTAATTTTGTGTGAAATAATGATTTAAGCCAATAATCATCTATTAGATCATAATTTGATAAGTCATTTCAGATTGGAGAACAAGCAGACATAAAGCATATGGTCAGTTATAGACAATTTTTGGAAAAGAACAATATCGAAAGTGCTTCCACGAAGCAAAATGGCTTTTGCATCTACAGAGCTCCTGAACTATATTATAAAATGCAACTAGAGATTGTATATTGTTCTTTGTCAAGAGCAGAGAACTCAGGATGTTAGTTAAGAAACAACGTAAGTCCAAGGGAAATTAAGGTGGAAGTGAAGCAGGGCTTGTTTCCTTTATCAATTAATGCCCATGTCCATTCTCAGTTCCACACATCCCTATTCTGTGCTCTTTATATTCCAACATTAGAAGACTAGAGGCATGAAGGAACACAAATTCTGCTTTGTGACTTCCCTACTGCATTGTAAAAAAACATATTAGCTACCTGTATCTTAAGAATTTTAGAAGAAAATGAAGAAAAGTTGGGAAAAACAGAATAATCTTATATCCTTAAAATAGGCACATTATGTAAATGCTCTTGCTTTGTTTCTGTCACTTGAAAATTGTGTGTATGTATATACTGAAAAATTAATTGTCTGTAAACAACTTCTTATAATTAAAAAAAAAAAATACCTTGTAATCCACTCCCCCAATGATTTTCCGAACTAGTTTAAATGTTAAGGCCCAAAGCTGTGTTCTTTCCCATTCAAGAGTGTCAGAGTTTATGAGAGATTCACAAACCATCCTATAAAAAAAAAAAAAAAAAAAAAAAGAAATACTCATTCCAGGTATAATATGTAATTTTGAAAGTTCACAAATAGCTATAATTTGTGTACTATAGGTATTATATTTATCATATCAAATATATTTCATGAAAGTGCATTATTACTTAAGTATACTTTTAGATCATATATAACATTTTATAGTTTTACATTTAGTTTTGCTTATATAAAAAAAAATACCAAGTAGAAGTACTACTCACCATATTTTTATGAGAAATAAAATTATCAAAACTTTTGGTTAAGTGTTTACCATCTACCAGCTAGTGGCAGACTGTATTTGTCCAAGATGGTGTACAACATGATTTTCAACCTCTCATGCTCTTCTGAAATATAACACTAATTCTCCTCCCTTGGAGAGGTAGAGGAAGGGTCTACATTTTCTCTCCTTAGATCTGGATAGGCCTAAAACTATGGCCACAAGGATATGGGATAATTTCTTTTCCTAAACCTGTTTTGCAAGCTTTCTCTTAGACCTCAGAAGCTGTGAGAAAGTTCAGGTCACAAGGTGAGGGCATGTATAGGTTCTGGCTGAGAATTCCAGAGGAAATTTCAGATGAACATAGAAGTATCTGTGCAGAMGCATTTGTCATAACTCCAGCCTTAGCCACATTAAAGTATAAGTATGTAAGAGACTATGAAAAAGAGCTGCTTATTAATCCCAGTCACTTGAGCATCCTCATTTCCTTCTTTATTCCCTTATCTTTGTACAAGAACACCTTAACCAATTTCCCAAAATGTATAAAGAAAAAAATACTTTAGGTTGCTCACACCCACCATTTAACATACCTGGGTGGAAGGAGACCAGTTTCAACTGCCATTGCTAAGCAGTCATAAAGAAAAGAAATTCTTTTAGGACTATGCTGGCCATGAATAAATTTAACAATCCACTGGATACACTGTTCATGAGACTCCTGGAAAATTAGAAAATTATTTTAGGTCTAAAATTACACTTTATAACTAATAATAGATAATACTACACCTGGGAGTATATCAAGACTATGAATGAAATACTTCGTTGTGAAAGTATTTTCATCTATCATGAAAAATATTTTCATCCACTTACAGATGAAAAAGCAAGATGAAAAAAAGCAAGATGAAAAAATTCAGACTTATTATTTGTTAAATTAAGTGTAACATCTTGCAATTATAAAGGTTAAATTTCTACATTTACTGTATGGGACCTCCAAAAGTAGTTAAGCTTTCATTAACATTCATGGTCAAAACAAACTACATAAGGTACTGTTAGCAGTGCCCTTACTGCTAGATATAAAATTTTCTGCCACTGGATGAAAAAAAAAATCTATTATGGATTAGTACATTAGCCTCATGAAAATTCAGTGTGAGTCTCATCCCTAGAACCCCAAATAAGAGCCCACTAAAAGTCCAATGACATATCAAATTTCTGACATGCAAAACTTATAAGTTTGATATCAAAAAGTTGGGCTCATATCAAAGTTTGTCTTCTAGGATATCTCAAAAAAATCTCTATTCAAGAAGAGACTATAAGTCCTGCTTCTCTGTCGTTACAAACACTTCCATTATCGTACATATAACCATGATTGTTAAAATACCAATTGTATTTCTGGCTCCCCCATTAGAATATAATCTTCTTGAAAACAAGAGCCCTACCTTAAATCATAAAATTTTCAATGAATTTAAAATACTCAAATGTTTGAAAGATGCTCAATACTACTGAGAGAAATGCAAAGTAAAACTATACTGAGATAAAATTTCTCATGTGTCGATTGTATAACAAAGACCAAAAAGTTACTAAATCTCTATTATAAGGCTATAAGAAATAGACACTCTTATACATGGATGTAAGGAGAACTAACCAGTATGGCAATTTAAGCAATTTCTATAAAAATTATATATATATTGGGGCTGGGGTTATAGCTCAGTGGTAAAGAGCTTGCCTCGCATGCGTGAGGCCCTGGGTTCGATCCTCAGGACCACATAAAATAAATAAAAATAGATATTGTGTCCATAAAAAAAAATAGCATATATATGTAATCAAAAATACTACTTCCAGAAATTTATTTTATGTCTTATGTATAATATTATTCACTATACCACTGTTTAAAGTAGAAAAGTTAAAAAGTAATCTACATGTCATCTAGTAGAGGCTTGGTACATACATATATAGACTATTATACTGCTATAAGAAAGTAAAGAATCAGTCTTAATGGACTGATATGGAATTACCCCCAGAAATTATTAAGAGAAAAAAGGTGCTAATTAATGAGCAATACAAGTAATATGCAACAATTCCAGAAAAATGATTCTGAGATGGGGATGTAGTTTAGTAATAGAGCACATGCATGGCATGTGTGAGGTGCTGGGTTCTATCTCAGGCACTGAATAAAAAAAGAGAGATTCTATTAAAAATACTTACTTTTAGAAGAAAAAAAAATAGAATACTGGCTACAGATTGGAAAAGAACAGGTGACTTAGCTAAGAAAGACAGGAGACAGATTGGTCATTGGATCCATCCTTTTTCATCATTTGTATTTTGAATGATATAAAGACATCTACTTGAAAATAGTTAAAATAAAAATTTTAAATATAAATGTATTTATATTTATATATTTATATGATCCACATCTGAGTGGCAAATCTTACCACCTGTGGCTCACAAGCATACAGATCTCATTTCCCACCTATGGTAAACCATGAGAAGATATTCTGGTGGTTATTCTTTGTTACTAAGTTTACTGCTACTTTCCCCAATTTTACTATAATGTCTTCATATGTTTATTATAGAAACTTTGTATCCTTACTGTAGCATCTTTGAATCTTTACTGTAGTCTTTGTATCATTGTTGTGCATTTTTTTACTGGGGAGTAAATAAAGGAAATTTTTATCTATTACCGGAAAATTTTCAAGTGTACTAACTAAGCCAAAATAGCATGAAAATAGTTTTATATAGAGTAACAAAAGAGTTTTAAAAACATCTCCCACAGTGCTGTCATCAATGTGAATTCTGTTACCCCCTTAAGTTTACAACTTAAAAACAAAATGGAAACCAGAATAAAAGTGGATGGCAGTTCTACTTTTTCCTTTACTAAAAGATCTTAACAGCAACATCAAAGTAAATGTAAAAATGAAAGGGGCCGACAATCACTGGCTGAATATATTAAAAATGCAGTGCTCACCTGAGAAAGACCACCCCAAAACTGTCTGAAGGCCCCCAAACAGCTAATTAGTTTTGTTTTTTCATCTTCCGGGGTATCCATAAACATCCTATAAGAGCAAAAATCAATTATTTGCCGCTAGTTTTAAAAAGATAATTAAATAACTAGAATAGTGGATCTTATAACCCTCCACGCCAATGTAAGTAAAATCTTACAACGACATAATCCCATTAAAACCACAAAAATCTTCCATGCACATACCCGGGGAAAGCCTCTTCTATGACTTCCGTTTTCTGTAAAAAGCAAAATAAAACAAGTAAACTACCCGAATAAAAGAGGAGAGGGCTCCCCCTCGAAATATTTACAATGYGGCAAAGAGCAAGTCACCTAAATCAGCAACGCGCTGAAACTAACAATACCACTTAGATCTGTCCCCAAAGGGGTTGTGAATTCAAAAGGACACTTCCATCTGACAGCAATTTGAGAATCACTAATCCCTTGCAATCATACTTGGTGTCAAAACAAAGGAGAGGCTGGAGAGGAGGTTGCCCAGGCCGAGTTCCTGAGGCTGCCTCTGTCACCCGCTCCTGAGCCACAATCCCAGGGTGCCGGTAGATGCACTCACCACCACCTCCTCAAAAATGCTCTGCAATTGTGTCTCCATCTGTACCATCGTCCCCCGGTCTTTCCCGGGCGCCCGACAAAGTGCAAGACTGGCCTGAGCACCGGCAAGAAGTAGCACAGGGGCGGAGTCTCCCGGAGGAAGCCAACGCTCTCACTCGTCGCTTCCTTCCATCCCGAGCCCTGCAACAGCAACCCATACGGAAGCCGGGAAGGTCCGGGTRCGCGCCCTTTACGAAACCCCCCAGAAATCTGTGGCCAAACCTGATGGTTCCGTTTGGAGAAGCGCGGCCTGAGAACTGCACGAGAGCGCCCCCTCGGCTGAGTCCAAAGCATCCCGAGTCGCGTCAAATGCGGGCCGCCGCCTCCCGGCTGGAGCGGGAGTTGCTTTCTGTTTGGTGCTAACTTGTAGAAAGAAAGAAGCACAGGTCAGAGGCTGCCGCCTACCGATAATGCCTGGGCTGACGTGGGACCAACCTGATGTCTGTGAGTGGCCGACCTGCTGGAGGAGTTGAAACCACGCTTCTCTGGACCATGGGGACCATGTCTTCTCAAMTACGGTAACCTCAGAGCCTAAGCCCAGTGAGGAACACTAAGCCCGCTTTCACTGAATCATGGAAAACAACAACAACAAACAACAAACAAAAAACCCGGAATGAATGCATCGTTATTGATTTTTGTTTAGAATTATTAAATAATAATATCTACTGTTTTTAGTTATAATCATCTAAAATAATTAYAATTACAAGTTATTGAATACTGGTTGAGGTAGAGATGGGCTGGAAGGCTAATAGAGCCAAAATTATTAAAATCCAAGTACCCTACCCACCTATTGTTCTTTTCTGTAGGCTCAACAGGTAATCTTACTGTGGATTATATTTCRTTGGATTTTAGTTCTAAGACATTTTTTTTTGTTACTATTTGGCATATTTTCATATTTTTACTCTTTGTGTTGTCCAAATTAGTGTATYCTTAGTGAATGCCAAGTAAATCTTAATATTGGCCAGGACTTGTATAATTAAGAAGGTAAAGTGGTCAGAAAAGAATTATATGTATTTTATAACAAAATTAGTTTTACTTTATGCTTGCTGATGATCCACTCACAGACTAAAAATTGACTATACATTTCCAGAGCTTCTCAATGTGTTCCCCCCATGCTTATTTTTTATTTATGTATATTTTATTTACAATGAAGCACGTAAAACTTAAATGTATAGATCCATGAACTTTGACAAGGTTCACACTTGCTCAACTAACACTTCAGTCAAGGTATGGAATATTTTATATCACCTTGGAAAGTTCCTGATGCCCCTTTGCAGCAAACCCCCACTCCACAAGACACATACWTTGAGTTTAAATAACCATTAATTAGTTTTTCATGGTTTAATATTTACATGGGGAATATTTTTCCCCATCTTAGCTTGCTTTCTCATTTTCAGAATTGTTCCTATGTTTAGTAGAAAATGTTAATTTGGATGAAGTAGAGTTTATTATTCTTTTTAAGTTCATGGTTATTGTTTAGCAGCCTAAGGAAAAATTAGTATCTCCCTTAAGTGTTTTTTTCCCTAGAAACTTTAGAGTTTTAGCTTTGATATATTTGAATTAATTTTTGTGGATGGTGAAAGGAAGGCAAAACCACTCCTGATTRTTAACGGCTATTCAGGACTGAGAGTCTGATGGGCCCGGAAGATAGAATATCAAGTCCAAGGGGATTATTCTTGAGCAGTTTTTCCATACTAAATTTCAGATTTGCTTGGAGCATGTATGACTCCTTTTTACTTGCCTGTTTCTCCATTTCTGAATAGTAATGTCTTATCCTATGTGTTTCATACCATTGTATTTTGGAGGCATACAATTTGTTTTCTGGTTTCACAGGTTCATAGAGAGGAATTTGCCACAAGATGAATCATACCTCAGTTCTCATCCAYTCAATCCTGCAACATTTATTGAAATAACTTTTCTCTCCTAAATGGCCTTGTATTAGTAAGGGTCTATTTTTGGATTTTATTTTTGTTCTACTGTTCAATCCTTATGCTAATATCATAATATGCTCTAGCTGATAAGAAAGACTTGAAATAGTGGAAGTTGTCCAACTTTATTTTTTCATGCTTCTTTGACTATATTAGGTTCTTTGCATTCATATAAATTTCAKAATCAACTTGTCAAAAAATACTGAGATTTTTATTGGAATAAATGAAGTATATAGAGTAATTGTGGGGAAAATTGATGCCTTAGCCATGTTGAATTTTCAATCTATTATATTTCAGATCTTTCCACTTATTTAGATTTTTAGCAATATTTTGTTTTTGGTGCACTGGACTTGCTAAAGTGTACAGGTTTGTTAATTTGTTTCTGCAAATTTTATAGTGTTTTCCTTGCTATTTCAAATAGCATTTAAAATATATTTTCAGTTGTCTTTTGCTAGCATCTAGAAATAGAATTGATTTTTGTATATTAACTGTTTATCTTATGCCCTTGGTGATTTCACTTATTAATGTTAGTAGTTTTTTGTAGATCCCTTAGAATCATCTGTGCATACAATCCTGGTCATCTGCAAAGGGAACAAATTCTTTTCCAATATATTTTGCTGGTTCTTTTTCATGCTTTGTTATACCAGCTGGGACTTTCATTAGTACTGTGTTTAATAGAAGTGGTGAGGATGTATCTGTGCCTTTTTCTTTATTTTAGAGGAAAAATTGCCTTTGACCTTTAAGTATAATGTTAGTTGTATGTTTTTCATTGATTGCCTTTAACATTTCATTGATCTATTTGTCATATTGAAGGAAGGACTATATGATACATTTTAAAGAAATTTACTCCTTTACTTTGTTAATGTGGTGAATTTAATTGATTGACTTTTGAATGATGAACCACTTTTGCTTCCATAGTAGAAATGCTACTTGGTCATGATATGTAATCCTTTTTAAATGCTGGATTCTATGTGTTAATAGTTTGTTGACATTGTGCATTTTCTTTATATGTTACCATCACTATCAACCATTTATACATCTGTTATACCTAGTGGGTGATAAACTTTCTTTTCTTTCTTTTTAATTTTTGGTACCAGGGATTGAACCCAGGAGTGTTTAACCACTGAACAACATTCCTAGCCCTTTTTATTTTTTATTTTGAGACAGAGTTTTACTAAGTTGCTTAGGTACTCACTAATGGCTGAGACTGGCTTCAAAATTGCCATCCTCTTGCCTCAGCCTTCTAAAGTTCCCTTCACTTCTTTTGTGGCTATGGAAATTTACCAACTGTTAAAAATGTGCTACTAGTGAATGATAAAGTGAGGATTCCCCAGTAATTCCTGACAGAAACTTAGTTTCCTAACAATTGTAATGTGCAGATACAACCACTGTATGTCATTGTTAACCACACATGAACTATTGAAGTTTCCTTCTGGAGAATACCTTTGAGATTCAGATGTAGTGTGTTAGTTTACCAGGGCTGCCATAAAAAAAAYACCACACTGGGCAGCTTAAAAAATAGAAATTCATTTTTTCACAATTCTGAAGACTAGATATCTGAGATGAAGGCATTAGTAGAGTTTGTTTTTTCTGATCCTCTCTCCTTGACTTGTATTTGGGCATCTTCTCCTTTTGTCTTTTGTGGTCTTCCCTTTGTTCTTGTCTACATCCCAATTTTCTCTTTTTTTAAGGACAACAGTCTTATTGGATTAGAACTCACACTAATGACCTCACATTACTTCTTTAAAATATATAAAATATAGCTTATCTCCAAATATAGCTATATTCGATGGTATTAGGGATTAGGACTTTCAGGGGGACACAATTCAGCCCACTTTGCCCTCTGGTCCCCTAAATCACTATGCAAAATGCATTTACTTTCATTCCAACAGCCCCTAAAGTCTTTTGGGGGATACAATACCTTTATTTTATTTATTTATTTTTATGTAGTGCTGAGGATCAAGCCCAGTGCCTTATATGTGCTAGGCAAGTACTCTACCACTGAACTACAATCCCAGCCCTGCCTAAAATCTTAATGCATTCTAGTATCAATTTTGGGGGGGGGGATACCAAGGATTGAACTCAGGGGCACTCGACCACTGAGCCCCATCTCCAGCCCTATTTTATGTTTTATTTAGAGACAATGTCTGACTGAGTTGCTTAGCATCTTGCTTTTGCTGAACGTTGAACTCGAGGTTCTCCTGCCTCAACCTTCTGAGCCACTGGGATTACAGGTGTGTGCCACTGCACCCAGTTTCTAATATCAACTTTTAAGTCTTAGATAATAATAAAGTATTATCTAAGTATTATCTAAATCAGGAATGGGTAAGACTTGATGTATCTTTTGTTCCAAAGAAAATTCAGCTCTGAAGCTGTGAACCTGTAAAACTAGATAACAATTCATCTGCTTCCAAAATGCAGTGGTAGGACAGGCATATCAATAGACATTTCCATTCAAAAAAGGGGGAATTAAAAAGAAGAAAGGAGTCAAAGGATCATAAGTTCCAAGAAAGTCTGAAACTTGGCAAGTAATTTCAGTAGATTTAAGGTTTATGAATTTTTCTCTTTGACTTATTCTGTCTTCCAGGCCTACTGGTATGATGGTAAGAAGGAAGAGAGCTTCCACATGGGGGCATTAAGGTAGAGGTTATAGATGCCTGAGTGGGATGAAGTAGGCATCCAACCATGACAGGGTATATGCAGTGGTGTTATTAAAGTCAGCAAAAATAGTAAGTTTATAAGAGTCAGATTTCACATGTGGGAGAAGTGATGTTTGTTTGGCATTGGAGGTTTTGATATGAACTGTAGAATTTTCAACATGTAGAAAGTTTTAGACATACATCTAAATGAGAGATGTAAATATGTGCATGCCCATACACAGACACACATACACATGTACGTGTGTGTGTGTGTGTGTGTGTGTGTGTGTTTCCTTTCTCTGGAAATGGTAGGGTTTAGGAGCAGCAGAAACTCATTGATCATTGGGGGTGAGTAACCAAGGATTGAACTCAGGGGCACTCGACCTGAGCTAAATAAATACCAAGAATCTCTGGTGTTACGGCTGACCACAGAGGTAGGACAGGGAATATACAAAATGAACATTAAGCCTCTTGCTTTACCAGAAAACAAGAAAATTCTTAAAGAATGATGTGGCACTTGAAGACATCCCTACTGACCAAATAAGGGACAACATGAGCATCAAAACAGTGATAATGATGGATTATAACCAATTGGATAAAATTGCAAGCCATGAGTCCACAAAGCTCTAAATACATAGATTAATAAAATTAAAGTTTTGGTGAGAAACAATATACTTTAACAGCTCCAGTGTAACTRCAAAAACAATACTTATTAATTCAAAAGGACAAAAAATAAATCAGGACTGAGGTTAAAACTCAGTGGTAGACTACTTGTCTAGTATGTGCAAGATTCTGGGTTCCATCCCTAGTGCTAAAAAAAAAAAAAAGAAAAAGAAAAAGAAAGAAAGTAATGTCACAGTGGAGAAGCCAGCTGCCACCATCTCAATCAGATAATAAAAGTGAACATCATCATGGTCATGGGAAATCACCTTGATAGGATGTGATGAGAAG